TCATCATCATCAGTGAGCTTCCGCATCAACTCTAGTGGGAACCCATGGCAATCAAGGCGGCTAGGCATTGCATCATCCTCTTCTAGTGTAGGCACCTTCCAGGAACACTGGAGGAAAAAGGATGATGAAGCTAAAAAAAGACAATTGGACAGGGATAAACAAATGCTTTTGGCATCACGTAGTCTGGGTAGTAAGGAGCAAGATAATATATATGATCCCTTTAATCCTACTCTGTCAGATTCAAGCAGCTCAGGTGACGAAACGGAGGGCACAAGCCCAGATGGCACTTCTCAGTATGTAACATTTGACAGGAAGCCTCCTAGTCTAAGTAACAATGAGACTATAATGCAAAACGAGCAGGACCTGGTACAGGTGAAGACTGAAACATCAGAGATTGAGGTCACACAGGAAGGACCAGGGATAGCTCAGGAAACCACATCTGGGGCCAGACTCTTGGAGGACATTGTAAAGGTTGAAAATGAATCAAGACTATCAGGCATAAAGACTGAAGAACAAACTGTATCACTTGACAAAGTCAAGAAAGAACCTTGTGAAAATGCAGGTGAATCTGAAATCCGTGGTGACAGATTTTTTAATTCAGAGACCACAGACACCACACCGCCTGCTGATCAAACTCTGGATCTTGTAAAGACTGAGAGAAAGACTCAAGAGGCAAAGCGTGGACAGCGTGCTGGAACTCCCAGTAGATCTCTCTCAAAGGATAAGGAAGATTCATCAGTGGATAACTCTACAACTGTCAAGAGGAAACAAAAGGAACAAACTAAATCCCATGTTATGTCATGCTCCAAGTCCCCTTCAAGAGATTTGGACTATAAGAAGAAAAGCTCCAAAGCTTTGAAGGAGCAGTCCTCCAGTGGATCTGAGACAGACAGAGGCAGGAGAGGAGATCAGCATGGTTCAGGCCATGTCACAAAGCAAAAGGAAGTAGACCGTGAGGAGAAAGAAAGGAATTCCAGGCAATCACGGTCTAGAGAGAGGAATAGGGCACACTCAAGCTCCGACAGTTCTCAACCCAATTCCCCTGATAGGACTCACAGAAACGGACGGCGGTCCAGGTCACGATCAAAAGATGAAAGGAGAAGAAGGCGATCCAGGTAAATATATAACAGTTTTTCAAATATGCTTTATACTAATTAGGCAGTGATGCTGTGTTTTATTTTGACCTTCGTTGGAATGATTTATAATTGTGGACATTTTAGGTCTGCTTCCAGCTCCAGCAGTAGAGACCATTCAACAAGGAAGAAGCATAAACGAAGGAGCAAGGAGAGAAGTGATGACAAAGAGAGGGACCACGAAAGACGACGAGTTTCAAAAGACAAAAGACGTGGTCGGTCTCGGTCAAAGTCCCAGTCCAATTCACGTTCCAGGTCCAGAACCCGATCTAGATCAAAGGACCGTAAGCACGGTCGGTCAAAATCCCGGTCCAGATCCAGGGAGAGGAGGAGAGAACACAGCAAACATTTGTCTCTCTCTTCAAGAGACAAGGTGGAGTCACGATCTAAAGAGAAGAGGAGAAACGGGTCTAGATCCAGTTCAAGAGAGAAAAGGAAAGAAGAAAGATCATCCAAAAGCTCACACCAGACTTCTCTTTCATCCTCCAAAGACGCAAAGAGGTTTCAAGACAAGAAAAAAGAGAAAGATGTTTCTCAAAGCTACAGTAAAGATGAAAAAGTTGAAGCCAATCTGAATAAAAAGGAGGGTCCATCCTGTTCTTTCACCTCTAAAGTAAAAAAGCC